CCTGCCGGGGAGGGTGCCTTGGAAGTGCCCAGCCTCTCCTCCAGCCCTCCTAACTGTAACTGCCTTCAGGGTACACAATAGCACAGCCCCGTGTCACCAGAATCTTCTCTTGAGTATCCAGTTGGCAGTTGCCACCAGCACAAGATTCACCCACTTCTAGCACCCACAGTAACCTTTCCATGGTCTGGGATGCCCTCTCATTGGCCAGACCTGGATCACATGTCTGTGTCTGGGCCAATCACTGGAGCTAGAGAGATGGGTTGTGCTGATTGGCTCCATCTGGGTCAGGTAGTCCCCCTAGGCAAGGGGGAAGGAAGCAACAATGGTCTCTCAGGACAATGAGGGGCCCTTACCAGGAGCAGGGAGGGAGAAAATTCCTAGTCACATCCATAAATATTTTGAGTGCTTGCTATGTCCCAAGCACTGTTTTGGGTGTTAGGGATACAGAAATGAACAATGCTGAAAAATACCTGTGCCTTTAGGGAGGTGACATTCTGTTGAAGAGACTTGACAGAAATAAGTAAAACAGCCAGTTGCCAGAGGTGGTAAATGCTACCAGAGAGGGCAGAGACTTCAGTTTCAGCGTGCAAAGGTGGATCAGAAGGAGGTGAGGACAGGGCCATGAAGATACTGTATCTGGGTGAAGGTTCCAAGTGGAAGAAATCACAAGTGCAAAGGTCCTGGGGTTGGGCCCACTCAGCATGTTCAAGGGGCAATGCGGAGGCCGCATGGCTGGACCCAGGTGAGGGAGGAAAGAAAGGGGTAAGGTCAGGTCTATCGCTAGGGTCGTAGTGGGCCTTTGGAAGGTTTGTAGATTGTTCAGGGCTTTTAGTAGAGGAAGACAGGCTCTTGCTTTGTTGGAACAGGATCTTCCTGGCTGCTTCATGAGAGGGAGGCTGGACGCAGCAAAGCACCGTGTAGACGAGATTGTCCTGCCTCACACACGCCAGGCCCTTAGTAATGTCTGTAAGTAGAGGGAGAGCTAGGTGGTGAGCGCGCTGGAACACAGGGGGCCTGGGTCAGTTGCTCGCCGGCATCTCTACCCACCCTGCGGTTCCTTTTCCCTCCTGTCAGGAGCCGCCGTCTGAGCCGGGCCTTCTTCTGCTCTGCCCACTTCCTCTCCCACACCCTCAGTTGCCTGATCCAAACTTCTCTCTGTGTCTTTCGTCAGATTTGGGGATCCTCAGTGACAGCAGCCCATCTGGGTCTTTCCGGGCAGGCCCGGGTGAGTTCCCAGCCGCTTCCCCACAGCTGTGGTGACCAGGACTAGAGGTCGGCGATCACCCCAAGACCCTCTGTAGATCAGCAGATGGATTCAGAAGCAGGAGCCCTGTCTCTAAGTACTCGGGACATCAGCTGCGCCCAGAGATGTCCTGCTGGTCTGGGGCCCTTCGCTGAGTCCTGTGAGAAAGCACTGGACAAAGAGGAGGTGCTGGACAGACCTCCAAAGAGCGGGTAGGACAGGCAGTGTCTGTGGGGTGGCTCAGGTGTTAATCAGCAGCACTATGCGATTCACCACAGACTCCCGTGACAGCCACTTGGAATGTTTTACTAAGAAGGAAAGGGGGCGCGTGCAGAATCCCTTGTGTCATTTTTAATTGATTCCTTCAGCATCCGGAGAGAGGCTGGCACGAGGCCAGGATGAGTCTGAGCCAGGGGAATTCATCAAAAATCGACCCACTGATGACTTGATCTGATGAAATAATTAGCTCCTGTTACCCTGCGCCCTGGTTGCGGAGCTCTGACTCCATCCGCAGGAAGGAAGGGCGTCCTGTTGGCAGGTTAGGCCCTCCGGAGGAGGGGGACCAAGAGGGAGGGAGCCGGGACCGGAACCCAGAAACCCAGCTGATAGCGCTCTGGCCCAGGACTCCCAAGACACTGTATCTTCCGGCTCCGCCGTACCCACACAGTGCAGCCCCCAAGCCAGAAAGGCCCTCAGAGAACACCTGGCCACCTGCTGCCTTATTTGGCAAAGGAGGAAACTAAAGCCAGGGTGTTCGTTATGGTGTGTGTCTCGATGGCCCCCAAAGCCTCATGCGGTCATAGGTGGGGCTTTTTCAGAGGTGGCTGAACCTAGAGTGTGTGATTGATTCATGGTGCACTGCTAGGATTAAAGGTAGGTGATTACTAAGTCAGCCCACTGATTGGTGTGGCACTGCTCTAGTCCCAGTAGCCTGGATACAATAGAAGGGACGGAAAGAGGCTTGTCTCTTGCTTGCTTTGCCACCTTCTGCCCGCCATGAGCTGTTCCTGCTCTGTGATGCCTGCCTGTCTTGCTGCCCTGCCTTGGAGCCAGCCAATGATGGGCTGAAATCTCTACAAGCTGTGGCCCACATGAACCTTTCCTCCTTTCACTTCAGGTGTCAGGTGTTTTCTCTCAGCAACGAGAGAAGAGTAACTAAGACAGTGTTCCTAGGAACTTGCTCCCAGATTTGCCTCCAGGGGGTCTGTTGAACAGGCAGATGAATGTGAACCTTTCTCTGCCACGTGATCTCATGGGGAAATGATGGTGACTGGGCCTTGGCTTCCTCATCTGTTAAATGGGTTTAGTATCAATGAATAAACAACAGGTGGACACCTGTAAGATGCTCAGGCAGTGGCTGGGGCACCAAGCGCTCTCAGGAAGCATTTGTTGTTCTTAGTTGTGGTGGGAGAGGTTCGGCCTGTGGAGGGCACCCCTGGGGATCTCCCTTGCGTGTTATCCTCTCTGCGTGGCTGTGCAGCTGGAGGAACGTGGAAGTGCAATCAGCACATCCACAGCTTCGAGTGCAGAGAATCCCAGTGTGTGTTGAGGGCATCCCGTCGTCATGGGGGGTTCTCACACCAAGGGGTGGGCTCCGGCGTCTCTCCTGTCAGCCCTCAGCGCCGCCCCTTGCCCGCAGCGGGAAGTCTGGGATGGTGCTAATGTGCTGCCGACTCCTTTCCGCACCTGCTAATCTGCGCTAACGAGAGCACCCGAGTGGAGAGCCGGGGGCCTGGCTTCCAGTGTTGAGAAGGGCGCGGGGCCGCCGCAGCCCAGCTTTCTTCGACTCTATTTATGTGATTAGCTCCACGTGAAGCGATGCCCATTTTCCATTTATGCTTGGGTAGATAGAATGTTTTATTCTTCCAAACTGTGTGTTTGTAGTTTTATTTTCAAATAAGACCATTTAAAGTGCAGTGAGCAAATAGTCACCAAAGGGCGCAGAAGGCGGGCGCTGCTTGAGTGGAGAGCTGGGCACCCAGCTTGAAGGTGAGGAGCGGCACAGGGCTTCTCGGGTGCTTGCAGAACAGTGGTTGAGCCGGGGTTTCCTCAGCTGGGGTGAGGAGGTGATGGTATCTGCCGGGGGTTGACGTGGGCCTGAAGGAGACCCCGCAGGAGAGTGACCACAGCCCCATGCCGCAGGGCCCGCGCTCTGCCTCAGTGTCCTGCGGGGACTCCTTAAATCTTCCACACCCAGTTTGCCTCTGACGAAACTGAGGCACAGAGCTGTTAAGCTCCTCACTCGAAATCGCTCTGGAAGGAATTCCAGAGTGCACGCTGTTACCCAGCACCACCTGGTGGCCCCTGAGCTGCAGCCGCGCAGGTGCCCGCTGGGACTGCACCCCCCAGGGCTGTCTGTGGGCTGTCACCTTGGCGTCTGCAGGGATGACCTGGCGCCCGTCCCAGGTGTGCAGAGCCACCGTTCGGGAGGAGGAGATGGCAGAGGGGACCAGGCCATCCTGGGCAGCCTCGCACCGCATCCAGGCCTGGGTCAGGACCCTGAGAGGCAGACCACGAGACAAGGGGAGGGGCAGCACAGGAGCCAGCAGCAGAGAGGAACCCTTACGACCCTGGGCCTGGGGCGGGGGGACCAGATGCAGGAGGGTGACAGCAGCTCTCTGGTCATAGGCAGAGGCGCGGGTGCCCTGGGGAGGGAGCGGCTGTCATCCTGCTCCGTGACCTGACCCTCACTGGAGGGAGGTCTCCCTCACTGCCCCCCAGTAGAGTGCAGAGTGGGGCGGGGCAGTGGGGAGAACCTCAGCAGCTGTTGCTGTCCCCAGGAGAGAGGACACAGGCAGCGCAGCCCCTGCAGGACCCGGAGCCCTTGCTGAGCGCCCCGAGCCCAGGCTTTGTGGTGGTGGCCGGGTTCCACTCGACAACAGGGACCAGACTCCTTGAAGGTCACAGCCATGATGATGCGTCCTGGCGTCCCGACTCCTTAGCAGAGCGCAGAGCCGGAGCACAGATCAGAGACCCACTTGGCCACGTCTGCTGTCCATCTCCGCTCCCTCAGCTGGACTTGTGGCCTGGTCTGACCTGGGGACGAGACGGTGACTGAGGTCGTGGAAGAACGTCGCAGTTCTTCTCCCTCTCCCTTGTAGCCCGCTGTTTTCTCTTGTCATTTTGTTTCTTCTGTAACTTAAACCTGAGGGAACCCATTTAGTCCAGCTCTGCGATCTCTTGCCAAGGGGCTTTGCTACATCTTCATGTGGACTGAGTTCATAATGACCATGTCCCCCTCTTTTATTCATGGGGAAACTGAGGCTCTTCCCTGGGTTATTGGTGGGCACACCAAGCCCAGGAGGAACTGGTCTGTGATGGGAGTCAGCAGGTGGTGCAGCCCAAAGCCTACAGGTGCCCCTTCCTGCCTGGGGTCCACACCTCAGGGACCGTCCACTGCCCCAAGCTGGCAGGAATGTCCCTGGCCCCTTGGACCAGCCACTGCTTGGCCTGCTGTTGGATCGGTCTGTTGGATAGGACGGAGGTAACGTTCAGAGCTGGGCTGGTCACTGACCAGGGTCTGGGCTGCCACCCACACGTTAAGCTGTCCCTGGGGAGAGTTCAGAGGGGTCGCAGGGACTTTGCTGCCAGTCTGCCCCTGCCCCCATGCCAATTGCAAGTATTTAGTAGCCAAGTCTGGTGTCTGCTTGATGTGGCCCTGAGCAGGACTCTCATGGTCTACACCAGCCACCGGCGAGCCGCCGTGCAGAACGAGCGGGACATACACCATGACCCGATTCTTGACCTTCGCCCCTAGGTGGTGCATCAGGAGGGAAGGGGCAGAAGGATAAGATCCCCAAGACGCAACTTCAGACCCCGCATCCCCAGAGGCGTGACGGATTGGCCAAAAATGAAGATGGCGCCCCCCAGCCTGCTGCTCTGCCTGCTCTCCACGACAGTCTGCTCCCTGCTGGGCGGGAGCTCGGCCCTCCTGTCCCACCACCGCCTCAAGGGCCGCTTCCAGAGGGACCGCAGGAACATCCGGCCCAACATCATCCTGGTGCTGACTGACGACCAGGACGTGGAGCTGGGTAAGCGCCCCCCACCCGCAGAGCGTCTCGGGGCTCCGGAGAGGCGCCCGGGGCAGGGCAGGCGGGGAGACGAGGGCTCCCTTCTGAGTGCTTTTGAACCGGCACCCTCTTGGGTTGGCCCCCAAGTTGTGGGTTCAGAGCCCATCCTCAAGGTGAAGGAGTCTCTAGTCTTCTAATGCGGAACCATTCCTGAACTTCCCCAAAATCACAAAGAGGAGAGATGTTCACGCAATTTCCCCAGCCAGCCCCATCCTGGACCACCACCTAAAGCATCCTCTGACCTCCGCCCTCCTCAGCAAGGCCTCGGGCTCTCCTCCCACCTGGTCCTCAGCAGCAGCAGCAGGAGATTGCTGACAAGAGGGGGCCCTCTGGAGTCCCGTCAGCCAGACCTCCTGCCCCCAAGGTCAAATTCCGCTTCTGTCACTTGCTCACCTGTGGGATCTCTCCCAGCTGCAGCTGTCTTTCTCTTTATCCCATGTCTTCTCCCCTTGAATTTTCTGATTCTATGGGTCCCATCTCTCCACTGAAACCCTACATGACTGCTTTCCCATAGAAATAAACCTCTGTATCCCCCAGATCCATGTCCGCATGTGGGTTCAGCAAACTGTGCATTGAAAATATAGGGGAAAAATTTCATCTGTACTGAAGGTGTACAGATCTTTTCCATTGGCGTGATTCCCTAAACAGTACAGAAGTATTTGCCTAGCATTAACATTGGATTCGAGACTGCTAGTCATCTAGATGTGATTTAACATATATGGAGGATGGCCGAAGGGTTCTATGCAAATACCATGCCCGACTGTGCAAGGGATTGCATATCTGCAGGTTTTGGTACCGGAGGGGCATCCCGAAGCCAGGCCCTCCTGGAGAACGAGGGACGACTATGTAATTCAAGTCATGGATGCAAATGACAAATGCAATTTTGCACTTTCTAGCAGCTACATTGCTTAAGAGTAAAGAGAAACTGGTAGAATTCATCTTAATAACCCAGTATATCCAAACTAGTATCACCTCAACTTGTAGTCCGTATAAAAAATATTTAGGAAGTATTTTGCATGCTCTTAGCTAGTTTTTGACATCTGCCTCGGGTTTCACACGTAGGGCGCATCTCAGGAGGGCACAGTCACCTTGCAGGTGCTCTGTAACCACCTGTGCTGGAGCTGCTGCCCTGGATGCTGCCTGCCATATGCATTTTCCTGCTCCTTTGAATTATATTTCCCTTATCATCGTCAGGTGAGAAAGTGGTATGGAAATCTAGAGTAAAGTGTTCCAGGCAGAGGGAACAACATGTGCAAAGGTCCAGAGGCAGGACCAAAAGGGCCAATGTGTCTGGAGCCTGGAGAAGCGAAGTAGAACACAAGAGTGGACAGAGAAGATGGAGATCTTCGAGGCGCTAGGGAGTTGTGCTAAGGACCATGGATCATTGATCAGGCGAGAGGCGTGCCCTTTGCCTCCGTCCCCTCTCAGAGGACAACAGAATATTGCTGCTGGCAACCTGATTCTGTCTTTAGCTATCCAAAAGGTTCTTTATAGAAAACCCAGTCACTGCTTGCAATGATTTGTATTAATGATCACAAGTATAGATTTTTCTCGGGGAGCTTATCAGTGTGAAAGGAATTTGCAGCCAGGAAGCAACCAGAGCCCGGAGCCTTATTGACAGTTTGACACGTAGGATCCCCGTCTCCCGGCAGCAATCAGAACGAGGTACATTTGATAACCACAGGGAGTCTGCAGACTGTGGCCGTGAGAATGTGAGTTTTGTGTCTGGTGGAATTTCACAGACTGTATTCGCGGGCAGCCCCTGGTCTCACCTTGTGTGGCCCCTCGAGCTGTTCTGTCGTGATGCTGGGGAATTCGAGATGCCCCAGATGTCCATTCGTGAAGCAGCTCTGTGTAACACAGCGTGCCAGGTGCTGGGGAGCGGACAGGGATCATGCCAGGGAGCCCACATGCAGGGCGCAAGCCATTCACGGAGAGAGGGGCCGAGAGCTGACTTGGCTCCCGGTGAGGGACCTAGTGCAATGGACACAGAAGCAGGGCCTTCCTCAGAGAAGTACCACAACCGCATCCAGGTCCCAGCACTCTTCTCCAGCCCTTACGCTGAGATTGGGGGGCCAGGAGGAGGAGCAGAGGCTGCGGGGCCCAGGGCAGGCTGGTGCCGTAACTGAGCTTCACATTGAAGCTTGGACCAGGTGGCGCCGCGGAGCTGGCGGGGCGAGGCCCAGCTGGCTGTCTGTTTGGAAAGGGAGCAGGCGGGTGGATTGGAGGTTAAGCAAAAGAGAAGAATCAGGGCAGCCCCTGAGTTTGGGGCCTGACCCTGCAGGTAATAATGAGTGAGCCCCTGCACCTCATGGCTGAATCTGCCTGCAGTTTTATGTTTGTGACTCTTAATAAAACCAACAGAATAAGTGAACAGAAGGAAAGACACTGTGGGGGGTGAGGGTGGAGGAAAAGACAAAAAAAGCCAAACCACAGCTGACTTTAAATGCAGAGAATCGTTCTCTCGGTTTTACAAACAGAGAAACTGAGGTATGGAGAAGTGGAGGCACTTGTCCAGGGTTGCACTAGTATGCAGTTAAACAGGATTTGAACCCAGAGCCCACAGTGTTCACCGTTATGCTTAACCAGTTTCCTGGGATGGACACTGAGTTGTTTCCAGATCGCTAGCATATTTATTCTCTTTTTGCTGTTACAAATCCTATTGCTGGGACTATCTTTTCTCTGTGTTTTTGCACACTAGAGTGACGGTTTGGGAAAGATAAATTCCAGGAAGTGATATGGTAGGACCAGGGCCCTCTGTTCGGTGGTGTGCAAGCTCCCCACAGGAGCACTTGCTGGCCCAGATGAGTGCCTGCCAGTCCTCCCCTCCGGGACGAGCCAGCCTCCCTCCCTCCCTCCCCCAGCAGACCCGGCTTTTGAAGCGGGCCGAGCTTCCTCAGGAGGTAAGGGGCGGGAAAGGGTAGTCAGGGGGCTGATGAGCTTTTTATAAACCACTAGACAGACCCAGATCAATAATGCATGTTCCAAAAAAGCCCAACACATTATCTCACAGTCTGCTACAACTGGCAAGCAGAGGGTGGTCCTAAAAAATTTATCATCTGCTATTTTCTGCTCATCCGTGCGGCAGTTCTGACAGTTCTCCGGGCCGGAGGCTTCTCTGCAGAGACAGTCCAGGCCTCTTCCAGTCCCAGCATGGAGGGCAGCCGTCCACCCTAATTAGGTCTGCTTCAGAGGCCGGGCGCAGCACACAGCAGGAAGAGGGCACGTCCGGTTTCCTACCTGCAGGGCTGGGGGCGGGGGCTGTAGCATGGAAGGTTCTTTCTCCCTTCCTCGAGTGCATTTGGCTCCCTGGACTTTCTTGGAAGTGTCACGTGCCCCGGGGAGCTTGTCCCTGCAGCTTCCCACTCACTGAGTGGCCCGAGTGCATGGTATAGTTGCAGAGCATTCAGGGAAACCCTTGAGTTTGGATAAGCTGGGGACCAGCAGGCCCATGGCTGCTTCTCCACCCTGGGCAGCGAGAGAGGAGAAGCCTAGAAACCAAGACCCTGTTTCACGATGCCCTTTGGTCAAGGAGGCTGGGGCCCTGGGGACTCCGCCAGGTTTAATTTGATGCGGCCCAACTTTTAGTGAGCTGCCAGGGCTGGGCAGGCCGAGGCAGCAGGAGGCGGGCATGGTCCGGGCCTGCAACACAAGTCTCTCTGCAACACCCTGGTTCTCAAGATGCTCCTTCAGCTGGCTCCCACTGCAAAGCTTCAGTGTTACTGTAAAAGGGAGCTCTGCATCCTGACCGTAGGGGAAAAGCCGGTGTCCCTTGGCTTGGGTCAGCGATCACTGCAAAGCTGAGTACCTGGAAAGCTGAGCGGTGTCCTCTAAATGGCAGCGAGCGCTGCTTCCCACGAGCCGGTGTCTCTATCACTGAGGTTGAGCAGCTTCAGAGGCAGGGGCTGAGGTGAAAGAGCAGCTCCCCAAGACTCCTCCTCAGCAAGATGGCGACAGAGCACGAGCACCGGGCCACTGCCTTGTCCCGGGACACACGCACGTGGGCGCCACGCGGCAGTGGGCTTGTGCCTCGGGGCTGGGGGTGCAGCCAGACCCCGGGCCCCAGAATCTCAGGTGGCTGCTCTCCTGCTCATTCTCCTGAGGGCCTGTGCCCGGGGCTCTTTAGATGGTCAGACTTCGGCTCTGTTCCCCAAAGCTGGATGAACCACGGAGAACATGTTATACCTGGAAAGAAATTCTTCACCTTTCAGAACATCCTCAAATGCAAATAAAACCCCCAGTGAGGGTGTAGGGTGAGCACTGAGTGGCTGATCGGCCGGGCTCACATCCTTGTTCTGCTACTCACTGTGTGGCCTTGGGAAAGTTACTTGACTTCTCTGTGCCTCTGTTTACCCACTATAAACTGAAGGTGGCAATGTGTCTTCCTGCTCTTCCTGGGCATCCTGGATGTTAAGGCGTGTCTATGTGTGTGTGTGTATGTGTGTGTGCGCGCGCGCACATGCACACACATGAGAGAGAGAGAGAGAGAGAGGGAGAGGGTTTGATCTCACTGCTGCCGAAGCCTTCCTCCTGTAGCACTGCCAGGCCGGCACTGTGGAATGCCACTCGTCTACACTGTTACATTTAAGAGTGAGTTTTCCCTGTGAGTCTCATAGCCTGGAAGAGCAAGGTCACCCTAGTCCCCTTCCGGCCGATGTGGTCAGGGTAAGCTGGCCAGGCGCGGGCAGCAATGCCAGGAGCACGAGCCTGGCGTGCATGAGTCTGCCGCGGCTCTTCTGCCATTGTCACGCGCGTGGGATGGGGAGCAGAGTTGTGTCATCGTGGGTGGCAAAGGATGCCAGGGCTGCAAAGCGGATGTAAAACCGTGACTCCCAACCCTCTCTGCCAGTCTAGATCTTCTCTGTTACACGCGACTTCTTGAAACTCAAGCGGGGTTGAGCCAACAAACTTAAAAAAAAAAATTATTTGACTCAAGGATATGAAAAGTGCAAGTATATTTT